ACACCTGGAACAGGTTGCGTGCGTTACCGGCCTTTTGGGGACTAATCCCTAAACTAAACTCCTAAGAGTTTGAGGATTGTTGGGGATTCGGGGATTGGGGAGATTGGGGAAGGGCTGCTTCGCGCCGGTTTTCTACTCGTTGGTGGTATCACTCCGGTTGAGCCGGCCCATTCGTGCCGAAGCATGGCTCTCCCACACTTAAAATAATTGTTACAAAGCACACCTCACCCACCAGTCCTGAAATTGTGCTCTATGTTTGGCGAGCTTATGATTAAACTACTTCATAGCTGGCTAATTTATTCATACTAATTAGAATTAATGTAATACACACTATTGCCATAGCCACTCACATAAAAAATATATTCCTCAGCATTCGGCCTGGCTACTGCGCTGACCTTGAAGCCAAAAATCCGAATAAATCCAGTATTGAATTCTCGAAACCAAGCCTAGATAATAGGCGTGACGCATATCAGTAGGTATGTTATAAATTACAGTATTTTATCATAATATATAACAGTAATTAATTAATTTATGTTTATGGACTTTCAAATTATTATAATGCGTATTGTAATATCGCTATCAGTTGATAACGCAGATAATCTGTTTGCTATCAATGTTGAGGTACAGTTGCCTAATCTGCAATATCAGATATATTGTTGGTATCTCCAGCTATTAACTGATGCGTCAATGATATCTGTTAAAATATGTACTTTATCTATTAATTGGTTGCTAGCTTCTGATCGCTACTTCTTCCACCTTGCCTATTGGCAAAAATATTAAATTACGAGAGCTATTCACGCCGATAATAATAAATAAGAATAACGACATTAGAGTATTCTAACATTGTTTACCTGACATTCAAGATTCTGTATATCGCAACCAACAGGGTGCTTTTATGACAGATGCATATTGTGATAGAAGTCGTGATCGTAGGCATTGTAGCACTCGTGCGCGAGTTTAAGTTGAGTTTTAAGTTTAATTGTAAGATGATGCTAAGATCTAAAGAAACTATTTAATTCAGAATTATCAACAAGTGTAAAATCGCAACATACGACCGACAGATGATTAGTAGCGTTCTACTAAGATTTAATATAACTTGCTTAATGGTAGATATCTCATCTATACATACGCACGAAGCAATTTATCTTAAATTTTTTAGTTGGAACCGTTAAACGAAATCATTGCCAGAGTCTGGGTTTCCCGAAGAAACCTTCAAGTTTCCATCGTAGGCCTCATCATAGCTGGTAAGCTTCTTTCTTTTTCTTCATGTACTGGTTACCTGGTGGTAACCAGGCGAGATAAGAAGAAGAAATCCACGCCCACCTAGGGATTATATTCGCGAGACAAACTCTAGCCACCGTAAGCACGGGCCTGTGGATGGTAAGCAAGGCTAGCTCGCCGCCCGACCAGAACCAGACCCGCGACTGACCCGTTGAGAGAAGAACTTAACGGGTTGCCGGGGCTCCGGCTCGAAGTGCAGGAGTAGGAACGGGGTGGTTTTTAGTCAGTAAGAGTCTGACACTCCCTTCCGCCTCACCCAGGCGGGAGCAGTCATGGGAAGATTTCCTCCCCTCAAAACAAAGAAAAAGCTAGGATAGCTAGCTGAGATTCCGTTAAAGTCTTGTCCCCAATTTGGATAGTTCTTGTTTGGTACCTTTGATTTCTCAGTTATTTATATTATAGGTTCCATTTTGTCTATACCTTTTTTAAAATAGATATAACTATACGTATACCTATAAAAACTCAATCTGCCGAACTTCGTCTTGGGCTTTTTATTTTTGAAGTAGATGGGAATGAAATTTAACGAGTAATAAAAATCTATAGGTGTTTTGTTTATTTATTCAACAATTATTTATTTATATCTTACATCAGCAACGTTATTATTTTCAAGTACGTACATTTATAATGTATACGTAAAACTAAATAAAAACAAAAGACATTGTCTTTACAACTGCAACTATTTCATTGTGTAATGCATAGTTGGAACTTAAACTTAGTTTATACATATTTCGTTAACTTAACAATAATTTACTTACATAATCACACTTGCTTGTAAATTGTACTACAGTGATACAACAGTTATAATGGTACAGAGTTTGTAAATTGTACTTAGACTATAGATGTCATAATGGTCTAGTTTGGACTTTTTTCTTCCTACAATAACAAATACAGGGTGTCAATGGAACACTATTGAAAACACATACAATTTATGAAATTTTAATCGATTTTCATTTCGTGTTATTCATTCAACACCAGCCTTGGGCAGTTGATTACAACTGTCATTACATAAAAGAAACATTTCATTCTTTACTTTTTTTAAATAAAAATTCGTTTTTTTTTTATTACTTGTCTACGTTTTCAGGAGTGTTCCGTTTACACCTTGTAGAACGAAAAGATCCACCTTACCTTTTCCAGGATGTGTAATGTCTCTGGAACTCATTGCAATATATCAAGCAATAGTATATGCAATTAGTGAAAAGTTTGATAAAGTAGTTATATTCACTGATAGCAGGAGCGCGATACAACATTTGGCTCGATGCGTCTCTGGTTGCAGAGGTGCATCGGTAGCCTATGACATCCTCCAACGGCTTTGTTGTCATTTTAATAATGAAGAATGTAGACTGATATTGCAATGGGTTCCAGCACATATAGGCTTACGAGGAAACGAGGAGGCTGACCACTTGTCAAAACTTGCTGTTGAGATGGAAAATGAAACGCCGTATACTCCGGATTATTGGGAATATTGTTCCAAATTCCAGCAGTCTTGTTATGACAAATGGTTGAACTATTTTAATGAAAAATCTAATGTAAAAGGAATTTGGTACAAAACAAATCAGAATGAGCTTCCTCGGGTGCCTTGGTTTGAGGATACAGGTTTGGGTCGAAATTATGTTAAGTTAGCATTAAGGCTGCGTTCTGGGCACTATCCATCGGCGAAGTTTGCTTTTCTTATGGGGAAGGTTGCATCACCTAATTGCGAATTATGCAACAAAGTAGAGGACGTACAACATTTGCTAATGGAATGTGCCAGGAACAATAATGAAAGGGAATCATTAATAAGAAAATATAAGTTGAATAAATTAGATGTTGGGCTAGTTCAAAACATTTTAGCAAATCCTAATACCAAGATTGCAAAGGGATTGTGTGAACTGGTAAGAGTGACATAACTTTTCTTTTATTTAGGTCATACCTTGTTAATGATTCCCTTTCATTTATAGAGTATATTTAATTACATAAGGTACGATGGGGTTGACGTATCCATATGGATAAAAACCCCATAAAACAATAAAATTAAATAGAATAAAAAAAAACCTTTTCCAGGACATATTACAGGTTAAATATCTTATTTAGTAACAAATGAAACGCATTAAAAATATTTCCCTGACCGACTTTCTATCACAAAGGCTAATCTCAAGGAAAATTCAAAATGCGTCGTAAATTACATGACCAGACGGCGCATATATTATGTACTATAATAATTATTTTATCAATAAATATCTTACTAATGATAAAATTACACTTTCTCCAGTATGAACCGGAATTTCAATTTAATTTTTCTTAATTGCGATCATCTGTCATGTTCGAAATTATTAGACAATAGTAAAAGCAACAAATAAATAATGATAATAAATAGTTAATACGTACATTGTACTACGTATTTTGACTATATCTAATGAATCTAAATATTTAACATTAAATTGACTAAACTTTATCACGAGCATCACAACATTGTCAGTATTTACTACAATACATAACATACATACAATACTTTTTGTTATTGCAACATTAATCTAACTTTAACGAAAGTTTAGAAGGGTTCCACGTATAGATAGTCTTCAACGTAGACATTCAAACCTTAACTTGAATGTTCACTTTGAAAGTTATTTGCATTGACCGCTAGAGGCGCCAATGTCTGTTAAAGTCTACCAAGTACCAACTTACATGAAGTATGCCGTTTTGATAGTTAAACTTTTTACAATGGTTCTGTATCAACTATACTCGGAATTTTAATTCGATTCCAGATTTGACAATTTCAGTGTTGTAACGTTATGACAAGTACTAAATAGTGACGTTGCGAAATTATTCGATATGGAAATGCAATATTTCTGGATCGATTCTTCTCGTTTATAATTTTAATCTCGTAAACTAAGTATATCAGGAAATTAAATATTTCTGAACCGATAATTTAGTTTTGACGATTAATTAACGATCTGAGACTTTTCTTTTATAATTGTGTGTGAAATAAATAAAAAAATGTAATCATGAAGGAACATGACAAATAAAACAGATAGATGTATTATGGTAATAAGTTATTTTATATATTGTCGCCGTCATCGCTATCGCTATCCTGTCACTTTCTGTAACATTTATTATAAAACACACACACTGATTGTTTATCAATTTTTGTGTTCATCACTACACTATTATATGTGGTATCATTATTTCACAAAATGACAGTAGCTATTGTCAAATCTGGAATCTAATTAAAATTCTAAAACATATTTTCGGGTTACTCACGTCAAAAAAAATTTAAGTAATTCAGTATGTCTCACAATGGTTCTGTTGTCATATTTAGTTGCCTTTACATATTAATAGAATGTTACAATAACATAAAATTATTTTCTTAAAATTAACCATAATTACTATATCAGAATCATTTACACATGTACACTTAAAACTCCACCTATATTATTATTCACTAATGCTTACACACATATAAAGGTATTACACACTCACAAATAAATTAATCCGATATGTGACATCCATTTTCCATCTAACGTACTGCAATGGCTTCTCAATACCACGTCAAATTCTAATTATTTGATAAAATATTATCTGCTTTGCAAATTACATTAATGTAAGAGGACAACATGCTCTTTTAACGAAACGAAATCCATTTACTTCTCCCTTCACCTAAAAGTTACTTCCTACTTATTGTTGAAATGCATTGTTTTTATAAGATCTATCTTATGTTATAAGCCATAGGGTTGAATCCTGTGCTACTGCGCAGTAGTCTTCTTCTTGTCCATATTCTCTGCCTGCGCAACGGTGTCAGGTAAGTTGGCCTTCAGAGTCTCCGGCGTCAGCATCATCAGCAGACCGGAGGTACCCGCCATGATGCCAAATATTAAGTAGGGGAGCGACTCCATGTATGTCATCTGTAAAAGAAGAAGATGCGAATTAGCGATTAAATCAGTCTGTGATAATAGAATACTGCCCGGTTGGTGCTGTGGTTAGGCAACTGGTTATTGTGCTTTTTTGTGATCCTCAAATTGAAAATACCTGCATCGACCACTAAAGTCAAAACTAAAATACAACAAAATAAAAATCATCGTGGCTCAGTTTACAAGTTTTAAAAGAATTAGTTTCATTTGAGTACAGAAAGATTAATATGCAGGACTGACCAGCAGTGGTGTCTGTGGCGCGACGAGCGCTCCTATCCTGCCAGCCATGGAGCAGGTACCGAGCAGGCGGTGCCGCGCCTGCGTGGGGAACAACTCTCCCGTGTAGATGTAGATGCTGCTGAACGCCATGCTAATGCATAGCTTGCCCAGCAAGTTTAATGTCGTCTGCAGCCAGGGTATCGCTGTAATTAAAAAAAATATTTGATATTATTTGGCTGTTAAACATGTAAAAAGGGTCTATTACAAAAAGGGACAATAGTAATGGTACCACAATAAAGAAAAGAAAAATTGTTTCTTAAAAGTATTGTAATGTATCTGTAAACTTTCAAATAACTTACTTTCCGGTACGAATGGCATCGCTATCAATGATATCCCACAAATGATAAACGCAGTCATGGTGGAGCTCTTCCTGCCGAACCTGTCGAGTGTGAGCACGCTGAGGCAGTAGCCGGGGATCTCCACGAGTGACGTCAGGATGTAGTTGACGTAGCTGTTGCCCACCAGCGACACCGAGTTGATGGACAGGCCGTAGTACACGAACGTCAGCGTGATCCACCAGAACGAGCACACAATCAGACGGAACATCAGCGTCTTGGACTTCACCACCTGCAGCAGTATACCCCGCTTGTCTTCGGGCTCCTCTACTTCATCCGTTTGAGTTGGTTTCTTTGGATCCGGTTCTTCTGTCAGAGTTTTAATAGTCTCTGGAGACAACTTCCTTCGGTTCATCTTCGCAGCTTTGAAAATAATTCTAGCAGCTTCCTTGTTTTGTCCCTTACTGAGCAACCAGCGCACACTCTCTTCAATAAGCCAGTAGTATGAGATGAAGAGGACCGAGGGTGCGTACAGTACGAGGGTGTAGGTCCTCCAGTAGGGCACCAGCCAGGCTACACCTGCAGTCACTACCTGTCCCAGTGCGAATGTGCTGGAGATTAGGTTGCCTCCCAGAACACGCTTGTCCAGGCCCACCATCTCAAGAGCTGTAACAGATTTTTATGTGATATTAATTCTCATGTTATGTTATGGCTGTTAATGTTTCAATTTCATACCTCTGCATTACCTACTTAATAAAAAATTGAGGTCCTACAAATACTTTACTCTGTAAATATAATATAATCAGTCACCTAGAATGAATGCAGTGCTGTAGACGCCGGCGCCGACGAAGGCGTCCAGGAATTCGAAACAGATGTACATGATGTATGAATTTGAGAATGCTCGGATGACGCCCATAATTGCTGGAGACACGGCCGTGATCACCAGCGCTGTACGCCTACCATACCTGGGGAGCAATATATTGTTCCAGTTAAACGTTGCTTTTTATCATTTTAACACATGGAGGGTGTTTTTTTTACCTATCTTTCTCTTCGATTATTTTTTTATTACTTAGTTTGTAATGTTATGCTATCCCAGTTGAAACTTTCAGATTTTTAGACGTTACTAGGTGGACTGCTAGAAGTGTATACTCACGCATCAGATATGTAGGCGGTGACGGGCAGCGAGCCGAACACACCAGCCACGTGGATGGTGCCCACCAGGGTACGGAGCCACTCCTGACACGCCAAGTCGAACTGAAACGTATCAACAAGAAAGTTAAGGTTACAATTTACCATTTATGATGGTCTTGGTTAAAAAAGTTAAAAAATGAATTGGATAAATGTCCTATATGTCCGTCTGCTACCTGGCTCTAAGCTACCTCCCCACCAATTTTCATAAAACTCGATTTAGCCGTTCAAGAGCTATATAAATAGTGTAACAAACACGACTTTCTTTTATATGATACTAACTTTTACCCGCGGCTTCGCTCGCGTCACAAAAGGATAAAAAGTAGCCTATGTGACATATAACGATATACACAGCGCCATCTATACCAATACTTTTGTTTTCCCTCAGGAATATCAATAATTTTTTCGGGATAAAAAGTACCCTATTATTTAATCCGGACTTCTAACTACACATCTGCAAAAAATCAAAGCTATCGGTTTAGTAGTTACGGCGTAAAAGCGGAACAAACAAACAAACTCACTTTCCGATTTATAATATTATAAGTAAGGATTAACTATACTACCATGCAATGATACTATGTATGTTGTACACACGGCCACACATCAATCTATACAAAACCAGTTTATCCTGGTGTCGCATCGCATCATCTTTCCGCACATTTAACGTTCAGTTTATACTGGTTATGTAAAGCTCGATATGTAGCCGTGTGTACTACGATGCACCATACTGTTTACAGTCCCATTACTGAACGTCACATATACGTATAACTAATAATGTAAATTCACGAAGATTTTGCTCTAAATTTCATATTACGATTCTAACTACAAACAAAATTATTGTACATATTTAAGTCATGAAATAATCTAAATTATTTGCCTACAATAAAACATCAAGTGCTGAGGCCGCCGAATTGCGATCAGATAAAATCATTGTTATCTTTGTTCTAATAGCTTATTGTACATAATTCACGTAAGAGCCTCTCCAATAATATGTAATTACAAACTCGCTTGATCGCTCGCTAAATGTAATACTACCTAACTATCAGTCTGGATACTCGATAATTAAATGCTACTTACACAAAGTCCTCTAAAGTGGGCACGTGGCCACTACTTGTAATAATGAGGATTAATTATTAATATGGGACTTATAACATACCTGTGTGTATCTATGTGTATCTATCATATAGGTTTATGTATTTTATTGAGATCTATTTATTTAATACATTATTTATCGGTTTCATTTTGTGTATATAGTTTTAAGTTTCTATTGACTCAAATTTTGGTAAATTTTGTTCTTTTTTTTTTGTTCATGTCATGTCACGCACAGTGTCTTAGTGTTTACCGTTTTTCCTGTCGAAGGACTGCAGGATGAGATTCCTACGGGAATATGTAGTACCTCCAATTTATTTATATATGTGTTCTCCTATGTACTGTCTGCGTGTTGCGCATAAATAGATAAATAAATAAATAAATACCTAATCGAAACATAGGAAACCTTCTGTCCACTCCGCCGCAGAATAAAAGAAGTGCTCCACAGAACTCTCTCATCAAAAATTAGACAGTTAACTCACCTCAGGTACAATAGTGTTCTGATTCTCATAAACCCAGGACTGACACCGCTTTGTCTGGTTGGCACTGAAGCTGGAAGGCGCGCACTCCTCCCCCAGTGGCACAAGACGCTCGCAGCGCGCCCCAGCGTCGGGTAGGGCAAACGTGCCCCAATTGCCGGCCTCGAACTCCGGCGGTGACGCCTCGCATTCTGGTACCTTACACCTGAAACATATTGAGGGAAATATTAAACATTTGTAAAATAATATAATATGGCCGAGTGAAAAATAAATGCGTTCGTTATATATCATGACACCTGATGATAAATAGATGAACTAACCCTCACTTTTCGTAAGTTTATGTATGAGTCCCATGTGATCTACATTATAGCCAAAATTATTACTTGATATAATGATACTGAAGAATCCTTCACTGAATAGACATACATTACCTCAAATTAATAAGTTCTATAGCTACTTTTACTGTTCACATGCAGTAGAATGATTTAAGGAGGTCTCATATTTCAACAATCTCAATTACTGATCAAACCGACTTAATGACGACGTGCAGGAGAAGGAACGGGGTGGTTTTTTGTCAGTAAGAGTCTGACACTCCCTCCCGCCTCACCCAGGCGGGAGAAGTCATTCGATGATTTTCCCCCCTTAAAAAAACCGTCTTATTGATATTAGAAATTAGGTAAAAATGCATAACTTTAAAACTATCAAACGTTTAATTGGATGAACCAGTGTAATTTTATATATGCTAATAGGTAAGTAATTATGTATTTCCCCATAACACAAGATACATCCTCGTTCCGACAGTTCCAAGTACTCATGTTATCATAGTTGTTCAATTGTGTAATTAAAAAATGCCAGATTTTGAGTTGATTACAACTATTTAGATATGATTTAAGATAAGTGTGAGGTAGCGTGATTAACACTAGTGCGACACCGCCACCGTCTGGGCAAATACGGGGATGATAACAATCATACATTTTTATTTAAACAATTACTTATTTGAATTGTGTTAAAACTTTGGCTGTTTGTATAAAATTATACCTTCATTCAAAATGTTATAGATAAGGAAATTGTCGACGTAATGGTAGGTACCTACATTGTATTTACTGCAAGAACTTAATTCTGAACCTAATTCTAAGTAAGATACTGATGTTAGAAATGGATATAAGCCACCTATGAAGAAAAGTTATAATTTCTTAGATAGTAATTCATCCATGGGCTTTTCCGCGAAAGCCATACTATTATCGTTCTGAGCATCGTTTACTAAAATAACCGAACAATCTTGTTTTGCATCGTATTAGATATTTATGGTAGCACAATACAGTAAGTAAGGAAAAAATCAGAAACGACGTCATGACTTTATAGTTCTATTAAAATTATCTAAACAAAGAAACACATTATTTTGCGACCGCGGCGGTAAGTAATGAATTACTTTTACTGGTTACTATTGTAGTGTAATTGTTTGCTTGGGTAAATACAAATACTGACGAGATAAATCTTATATAGGAAGCTATTCATTTAACAGGCCAATAAACAAACACAATGAATACTTAGACCACTTCATAGAATACCTGGGTCCATAATTAATGAGTACAATAGCGGATTTTCAACCTTCACATCAGCAGCATTAAAGAGTGGCCACTGCTGATCAAAGGCCTCTTCTCACATGGAGAAGGTTTGATTTTTCATTAATCACCACGCTTGCTCAATGCGAATTGGTTAATTAGAAATAATAAGCCCAGGTTTTCTCACGATGTTTTCCGTCACCGTTTGTCAGTGGTGTCTAGATAATCTTAGAAAGTACATATAACTCGGAAAAAGTCACATTGGTACTTGCCATTGGTAGGTTTCGTACCCGCACCTTCATGCATAAGAAGCGGGCGTCTTAGACCTGTGAGCCACCACGACATTTTTATCTTACTCTTAGATAATACAGTAGTAATTCTATTTAGATTTTTTTAAGGGGGGAAAATCATAGAATTGCTGCTCCCCCCTGGGTGAGGCGGGAGGGAGTGTCAGACTCTTACTGACTAAAAACCACCCCGTTCCTTCTCCTGCACGTCGAGCCGGAGCCCCGGTAACCCGTTAGGTTCTCCGCGACTATTCTATTTGGGTAGGTCAACGTGTTGTTTGTAGGTACATTTAATGTGACAAAATTCTTCAGCACAGAGTCAGATTAAGCCCGATAGAGCTGCAACCATCATTCCTATCGCCACAATTTTAGATATTAGGATTAGCAAGCATTAGTGAAATAATCAGTAGGATTTTGTGCACATAATTGTACACGACACGCGCGTGCGAGGCGATTACCTGTTACATAGATAGCCTACAAATGACATAGTGGTATAGAAATGAATAAATGTTTTTTCAGGTGATACTTCAAGGAATCTTCTAATAGGGTAGATGCCTAATTTTTATTTTAATGTCCGTCTTGTAGATTATTTTAAATCATTAGACATGTAGTTAGTTTTTATTTTCTTACAGAAACGAATACTTTCGACGATATATTGATTTGAAATGTCGCGTGACGGCACTTCTATGTAGGTACATTTTATTCGTAGAAATGACATTTTAGCCCCCACACCTAAACTTTGATTTGTTTTATCTAAGTATTGTTTTATTATACGACAAAATAAAAAAATTACATGTGTTATATTTCTTATTTACCTAACTTACGGACTAATTAAATTTTTAATTTTCATACCCTGTCATCATCTCAATTATGACCTTCATTCTTTAATAATGTTATCAATTTACCAGCTACTTACATGCCATGCTTCGGCACGAATTGGCCGGCTCGACCGGAGTGATACCACGGCCTCACAGAAAACCGACGTAAAGCAACGCTTGCGTTGTGTTTCGTCGTGTGAGTGAGGTTACCGGAGGCCCAATTACCCTACCCTTCCCCAATCTCCCCAATCCCTGAATTCCCAACGATCCTCAAACTCCTAATTCCCAAAAAGCCGGTAACGCACTTGTAACGCCTCTGGTATTCCAGGTGTCCATGGGCAATGCCGATTTCTTATCATCAAGTGATCCGTCTGCTCGTTTACCGGCTTATGCCATAAAAAAACCAAATCTGTTCGGCTCAGTTCCTATTGATCGTAGCGTGGTGTTTGAAACAATAAACACACTATTATTCAAAACGGACCGATAGTTCCGCAGATTAGCGCATTCAAACAAACAAATAAACAATCTCTTCGGTTTTACATAATGCAAATTAAGATTAAACATCACATTCAAATGGTTGTATACATCGCACATACAGTATCATGTCATCATCGTATTTTTAACTAGCGACCCGCCCCGGCTACACACGGGTGTAATATGCATGTGTTATACAGATAAACCTACCTTAAGAATCATTTTATTAAAAAAACCGCATCTATCTATTAAAAAAACCGCATCAAAATCCGTTGCGTAGTTTCAAAGATCTAAGCATACATAGGGACAGACAGACGACGGATAGCGACTTTGTTTTATACTATGTAATGATAACAAATGCACAAACTGGGGTTGGGGATTTACATACTAATGATTTACTTCATTAGTTTTCATATATTTTTATCGTATATTTAACCAACACGGATCATCTATGACGAACGTGCGAAAGAAGGAAAACACAGATTAGTGGACAATGGACCGATTAACTGAATATATTGATACTACAATGCCTTGTACTCATTGTATGCTGACCATCTGTGTCAAGACATTGTTGTTTATACTGTATTAAATTAAATGTGTAGAATACCATCGGGCAATGTAATACTGGGTTTTAAAAAAATGTCTCGGAGCCAGATAGTAGCACGGAGTCTCTAATTATGGTATATACCTCTAGTATATGGCAATAGGCTCACCCCCTATTACATGGGACTTATAACATAAATAGTGAAACGTGGGTATTACATAGTACTGTGGCATTAAGTGCCGTAATGTGCATCTCTGCCTACTCCTTCGGGAATAAAAAGCATGATGTTATGTTTGATTAAGTATAGTGGCAGTATGAAACAGATTATCACGAATTCTATCATAACAAAACTTCTGATAGCAATCTTGCTCTTAATGAGCGTGATGTTATGATTGTATTCATTGAAATATTGTGTCCCAACTTCTAATAGATATTAAGCAAGTTAAGAAATATGAATCCATTCCACAACTTAATAGAACTTGGTTCATGGGTTCATGATATTGGTATCTGATATGTAGATATAAGGTTGGCAACGCATCTGTAACACTGTACTGTTACATATGCTAATTTCAAGCACAAGCATGCTTTAATTGAGCACTTGTCACTTAGTAGTATGTGTGTCGGAACGTTACTCAAAATTAGTATGTTTCTTAGTCATTAGCTTAAAATTAGTAAGTACTGTATACTTTAACTTTTATAGTTGTGCAGGTATCCACGGGGGACGTTAATCGCTTACCACCATATTATTCATTCTATCCCGAAACAGGTTCACGGGCCTGCGGACGGCAAGTATGGGTAACTCGCCGCCCGACCAGAACCAGACACAAGCGTGCAGCGCGTCGCGTTTCGGGCGCGCCTCAAAGAGCTATCAGATCACCACGGATGGGGCCCAATAGGGCTGATACGGAGCCACGGAGGACTTAGTGGGTTGCCGGGGCTTCGGCTCGGAGTGCAGAAGTAGGAACGGGGTGGTTTTTAGTCAGTGAGAGTCTGACACTCCCTCCCGCCACACCCAGGCGGGAGAAGTCATTAAATGATTTTCCACTAAAAAATAACCCGAAAAAAGTAGTACTAACGTAACTGTTGAAGGTAATCCTCCACTAACATAGGTCACCGGTGACTTATGCGGCGGTTAACGTGTCTTCTTTTCGTATAGGACATGTCTTCTTTTTGAAATGTGCGTAAGAAAAAAATATAAATATCATACTAAAAAATACTCTTCTAAATCTAATCACTTATGCCTGTTGTATTTGTTATTATTTCAATATAATTATTATTATCAGCACTAAATAGTACAATGTCATTATGAAACAGCTGAACTTGAAGCAGAGTACAATACACTTAACCCAAATAAATAATCAATTTCACAACGACTGTCACTAGTCTAGCCACCTGTGTCTGCAGTTATCAGGTATTGCTCTAGTAGTCAAAACAATATCAATGTTCAACAAAACAAACAAAAGACAACATAAATTCTAGAGTAAAAAGAAAACATCAGCGCACCATTCTTTACAGAGCAG